CCACCACCCCCCAGGTGACCAGCATCGTGGGCAAGCACGACAAGGTGCTGGCCAACCGCATAGAGTGGGCGCTGCAGCACAACGAGGCGCTGGATCAGATCAACAGGAACGAATCTGTGAGTCCGCAACCCAATGATTGGGAAGTCCTGCAGGACTCTGCACGCGCGCCTGGACGCGCGCTTTGGGGAAGGCCGCGGCCAGGCGGGCAGCTGCATCGACACTGGGGCGCGACGGACAGGCTGCATGGTTCAGGGCGCGGGGTTTTGTTGCGGGGCCTGGCAACTCTCAGAAATGCTGACGCCTCTGCGGCGGGATGCCTGCTTGATCACGCAGGTCATCCTGCCCCCAAAGACGGCGGCGCCGGCCCGGGGGGACGAGCAGCGCAGCAGCCGCAGGGAGCGCGGCGCGGAGCCGTCTGGGCCGCCGCAGCGGGGCGGCAGGAGCAGCAGCAGGGGCGGCGGCAGGGGGAGCGGCGGCAGGAGCAGCAGCAGAGGCGGCGGCGGCAGGGGCGGCGGCAGGGGCGGCGGCAGGGGCGGCCGGGGCAGCGGCGGTGGCGGCAGCAGGGGGGGCAGCGGGTACGCTTATGGCGGCGGCGGCGGCAGGAGCGGCGGCGGAAGGGACGGCGGCGGCGGCGGCGGGCGCGGAGGCGGCAGGTCTGGCGGCGGCCGTGGGGGCTCTTCGCGCGGCGGCAGGGGGGGCGGCGGCCGGCGGTAGCGGCGGGGCAGCGCAGGTCGGGCCCGGTCTCCAAGATTCAAGCCGCCTGCTGCTATCGCCCAGCACGCCATCTGCGCCCCCATCCAGCCTGCAGCGCCTGGTCGATCTCTCCGGGGCTCTGGCCGAACGGACAGCTTCTTACATGTAATGGGTGTGTGACACAGGGCTGCGGCGCGCCGGTCGCGACAGCGCGGTGGTGTTTGGGGGTGGTGTGGGCGGGCGCCCCGGGCGACGCCCGAAGGAGGAAGCAACTCGGTTCCATTGAATTGAGCAGCCGGCAACTGGCAGGCAAGGCGGTGAAGGCTGTGGAAAGTGCGCCCGACGGGCCTGAGGGCCCCCGAGCTCGGCATGTAGTGAAATTTGTGAATGGGGCGTCGCGCACCGCCCCAGGAAGAAGAAAAAACAACAGACAGCACCCCCCCCCCC